TTTTGTTCTACGGAAATGCCGTTTTGTTGGAAATTTTCATCTATTGTTGGTTTGGAAACGAACTACAAATAAAGGTGCATGATATTAGAATTTTCGTTTAATATTTTCATCAGACACATTTTTACAGAGTTCGCAAGTGTTTACGGTTGCTTTCCAGTCACAGTGGGCAGATGCAGACCAAGAGTCAAAATATGATTTGGTTTTTTTCATGATGAAAACTCAAAACATATTAAAAATTTCAGCAATGAATTTGTTTGATTTGTCTCTGGAAAATTTTTTAAAGGTGAGTGATACTTTCTATCTCTAATATACATCATACCAAATACTTACTGTTTCAGATCTTGAAAACTGCATACTCTTATTTCGCTCTAGTAAGCCGACTCAGTTCTGACGAATAAGAGAAGAGAAATTCACGTTTTAGTAGTCAACTTCTTGTAGTTATGTATTTGGTGTATAATAATAATTGACACACATGAATAAATCCAATAGAATTTTTTCATACATGTCAAGCTGTAGTATTTTTTATAATAAACATAACAAGAGCTAACAGTTTTATGTGATAATTTTTTTTATATGATTAATTAATCACATAATTGCATCTCATAATTTCTAAAATAATAAAAAATGAAGTGGCCCTTAATAGCTACCTTGGTTTGGGGCTAATAATAATACATTAATGTAACCAAACCTCTAATTAATTTTAAAAATTATACCCAGCTTCAGATGACGTTTCTCACGAAAACGTTTATAAATAATACATATTTTAGCCGGGAAAATCTATTAAAGACTTTAGCTTAATTAATAAACGATGTTCTAATAAAGGGTTTTGACACAATTAAAAAGCGTTGTTTTCCCAATGCAGTTCTTTTGTGTCATAAGAAATAAGAAATAACGAAATACGTAACAGATTAAAACTGTAACAAGTTTAGATTATTAACATTAGAAATTTTGTCGTAACTGTTTTTGCTAAAGTTGTGATATTCTAGTTTATTTTTTCAGATACTGTATCTTCAAGTTTACAATATTTTATAATAATAGCAAACAGCTGTACAGTAAGTTAGCAGTAATGTCGATTTTATTAAAATTAATATTGAAATAATCTCCCAAATTAATGTGTTGTTGTAATACATAATATTAAAAAAAAATAAGAAATTTGAACACGCGAATTTTTATTTTTTTTTATTCGTCTCCTTAAATGAAAGCTAATTAAACTAAAACGGAGCAAAATGGACCAAAAAAGGAGCATGCTATGGATATATTTCAAGTGAGTTTTTCCATAACAAATATTTGTGATGACTAAAATTTGGCGGATTAGGAAAAAAACTCAAAGCGGATTCGGACACCAAGTGTAATAATACGTTATTGTATAACATTTAAACGACTTTAATTTATACTTGAGATGATGTCATTAAATTGTTGGTGGGGACGAACAGTCAAATCTTGGTTGTCGTTTTACCATCCACATGATATTCCTAATATACATACAAAATTTGAGAACAATCGATCCAGTAGTTTCAGAGTTTATCTGAAATATACGCAAGCACCAAAAAAATTGAAAATTTAAACCACCCTCGAAAAAATTTGGTTCTCGTTTAATGCAAATATTTCAACCACAGATTTTAAAGCAAGAAAGCTAGACGATACCACGTTTATAGATGTCACAAAAATTTGTAGCGACGTTGATGGACCTTAAAAACGTACTTTATATGACTCAAGTTTTTTGAACTTTCGTTTCAAAATGTAGAATATTCTTGGGTCTAAGGGTAGGTACTCTAAATCCAAGCTACATTTTCTTAATTTTCGGCCAATTTGAACTCCATACTAAGGTATAAATCCTGTTAGATCTTCTCTCTTTAATTGTAATTTTGGCGTAGGCACTTAACATTGAAGGTAAGCGAAGAAAAATGTCGCTGCCTCGGTGGGAATCGAACCTCACGCCCCCCGCTTGCCGGGCAGGTATTCTGACCACTAGACCACGAGGCCGTTTTTATCTGGGAAACTATTTGCCACATTTTACAACACATTTTCTGTAAAGGCTCTTAGTAGTGTCGTATTAACAAATTATCACAATCCAATGACTAGAAGTAATTAATTAAATGATATGCTGGCATTACTTTAGGTCAAATTGAGGCCAGTGGTACCACCCAAAGCTTGGCAGGCAACATGACTCTTGAATCATTTTATTTTTGATCACACAGAACAAGTTAGAAAACGGTCAAGTCAAATCAGGGCAGGTCAGGTCAGGTTTAATTTAGTCAAGTCATATCAGGAAACGGCTAGGTCAGGTCAGGTTTGATCAGGTCGTTTCAGGAAACGGTCAGATCTGATCAGAAAACAGTCATGTTAGCTCGGCTAAAGTCAGATCAGATCTGGTTTGGTCAGGTGAGGTCAGTACAAGTCAGGTCAGATAAGATTTGTAATATAGTTTACCTCTATTTAGTATTCTCTCATTTATTTCATCTTCTAGCTTAACTTCTATGACCACAAGTATTTGAAGTTTTTTTCAATTTGTGTGTTCTAATTTTTCCCTTCACTTTGTTTAACATTTTTCCAAAGTTATTTTTCTTAGATTTGTAATCTTTGCTGTCTCCTTCTTTGTATATTGGTGTGATGATCCTAGACAATTTATCGGGACCATCTTCTGACCTAACCTGATCAGATCTGACTTTCCTGATATGACCTGACTATACCTTGTCTGACCCACTCTGACTTGACCAGCCCAGACCTGACCTGACTTGTTTGATTTAAACATTTTCTGATCTAACCTGACTGTATTCTGACCTGACCTAACCAAACCTGACTTTTCTAGTAGAAAAGAACTGACAAAATTGTAAAACCTACTCCTACATATGCATGTGAATTTTGGAAACTAACACAAAGACAGAAAAATAGAGCATACAAAAAATTTAATCATTCAAAACAAAATCAAAGGTAAATACAGTAGAAAGAACCAGAGCGTAGATAAATTATATAGCTTGGAAATGTAATACAAAGAGGCAAGGGAAAATTAGTTAAACAAAAATATGTGAACGAAGGAAGCTAGGAAAGAGAAAAGACTAAAAAATGGTAAGAAGTAAAAGATCTGCCCAAAAAAATGGAAGAAAAAAAAGAGTGCGTTGCCCCAGGGACCACGGATGGAGTTTTAACTCTGCGTTGTCAATTTATATAAATTATACACATATACTAAAATAATAAAAGCCAAAAATATGTAATGATTAGTGATGATGATTGTTGTTTATTATAAAATATACTTTTTTATTTATTTATCATATAGAAATATCTAATTATTATAATATAGCGCGACTCAGTTCAGACTGGTGTCGGTGTCGGTGTCGGTGTTGGTGTCGGTGCCCAGCCCAAACCGCTAATGATAGAAATTTGAAATTTGGAGAGGATGTTTATTTTACACTCACGGTATCGTTTAAGAAGGAATTTCTCGAAATGTATCCCCTAAGGGGGTGAAAAGGGGTGATAAAATTTGTTTATTACCAATATTTCTACTGCAAATTTAAATTTTTACGTGAAACTTGGTGTTAATGCTCTTCGTACAAATAATAAAACTCGTATTTAAGCATTTTTCGAGATTTCATCCCTAAGGGGGTAAAAAGGGGTGTGGCTAAGTTTGTATGGGAAGAAAATTTTTATGGTGATGTTTACTTAGAACTTGGTATTAATTCCCTTCAATATAAATAATGAAACACGTAGTTCAACATTTTCCGAGATTCAACCCCAAAGGGGGTGAAAAATGGTGGCTAAGTTTGTATGGGAAAAATATTTCCACTGTAAATTTTTACGTGGAACTTGGTATTATTACTCTTCAACAAAATGAAACACGTATTTTAGATTTTTTCGAGATTCCACCCCTAAGAAGATGAACAGGGGTGACAAAATTTGTATGGGAAAAATATTTCTATTGTAAATTTTTACGTCAAACTTGGTATTAATACTCTTCAACACAAAGAATAAAATGCGTATTTCAGATGTTTTCGAGATTCCACCCCTAGGAAGATGAAAGGGGATGACAAATTTTATACGAGGAAAAATATTTTTATGGCAATTTTTACTTGAAACTTTGTATGAATGCTCTTCGACACATTTTTTACTTGAAAAGTTTGTACAAAAAAATTTCGTTACCAAATTAAAATTACACCATTTTATAATAAGTAAAATTTTGGTCTGAAGTCTTGCAGTTTTTTATTTATTTTATTTCGAAATTCGTTTTTTTTTCAAGAGTATTATTAAATATATTTATGCAATTCACGCTATACAGTTCGCACTAATACGATTTAAAATTAAACCCATTAAAATTTTCCTAGTTCTTGTATGCACAGACATCAAATAATAGCGTTAAATTATTGCACACTAAAATCTAACAAGCATTTTGTTGTTTTTATTTTAAAATTCACTGTATTTCAGAAATTTAGTTATATGAAAATGTACATACTCACACTGTATATTTCACATTGACCACTCCACTTTTGCGATTTTAACGTTCACATTTTTCTTGATTCTTTTATTATTTGTTATTATTTATTATTTAAAAATTGCTTCGTGAATTACCATTTTTTTCTTGTACTTGCAACAGTTTTAGTCACCTACTAGTAACCCAGTGTAATAGAAATTTACTTTTTCTCTCAAAAATATTAAACTTTTGTACATGGGAAAGTACTAACTAAATTATTTACAACATCGAGATAAATATTTTCCAACTTACTTTAGATCAGTTAATATTTCATTAGAAAAAGCTGCCAAGGCTACATTAAAATTTCGGACAAGAAATAATTACTGTGACATTAAAAACAACAACAGAAAATAAATGAATATAAATTACATTAATTATAGCCCTAAGAGAAACAAAATAGTTAATTGTACCCTTGTATCTAGTAATTAATTGTCATCCTCTTATTGGTTGTTAAAAATTCGGAAATCCCTCTTATAGATCACGAATTGTTCAAACCCTTCGTTTAGTGATACTTTGGGTTTCTCGCAGAGCACAAGAAATGCATAATTTTGAGTGGAAATCTGCCGTTAATTTAAACATTGTAGCGCTAAAAATAATAGGTCTTTGGCCACAAGGAGACGAAACTTACAAAAAAAATTTCTACACTCTCTACTCAGCAACAATTCTAGTCGTCTTTGTCTGTGCTCACAACTTTTTCCAAACTGTCAACATTTTTCTAATTTTGGATGACTTCGACGCTTTCACTGAAACGATTTTCGTAACATTGTCGTTCATAGGTGCCGTAGTCAAGGCGTATTCACTTATCCAAAACATGGACACACTCAAAGGACTCTTTGTGACCATAAGAAGCGAAATGTTTGTACCGAAAAACCAACAACAGATAAATTTAATACAACCCGGGATCAAAGTCTGGAAAACTATATGCATTGCGCTAAATTTCATGGGAGGAAACTGTGCCGTGTTCTGGTCAACTTACCCATTGCTGGATAAAGCCGACTACAGACTCCCGTTTTTGGCGTGGTATCCTTTTCCGACTACAGTTTCGCCTAATTATGAGCTTACTTACTTGTACCAAGTGGTCTGTATTTGGTTTATCGTATTGTATAATGCCAATATAGACTCGTTGATTGCCGCTCTCAACATGATTATCGGAGCTCAGTGCGATATTTTGTGCGATAATTTGAGAAATTTGGATGGTGATAATATCGAAGAAGATTTTCAAAAGTGCGTGGAACACCATAAGGCAATTTTGGAGTTGTGTTACATAAAATGGTTGCATATTTTTGAGTTAAGTTTTTAATTTTTCAGGTTTTGTAAAAAAGGCAACTACTTTTATAACTGGATTTTGCTATTTCAATTTTTTACGAGTGCGCTGTCCTTGGGATTTAGCATGTTTTTACTGACCCGGGTAAGTTGTGGCTGCATTTTTCGCCTTTCAGTTAATTTTGTTTTAAAAGGTTGCCGCTTTCACCAGTGAATTCTTCTCTTTTATTACTTATAGTTATGCGATAATCATAGAAATTTTTCTCTATTGTTGGTTTGGTAACGAAGTGGAAATTAAGGTAAATAATGAAACATAAAATACATATAACAATAATAATAAAAATTTTCTTAGAGTAGCAATATCCCCTACTCAATTTTTCAAGCTGACTGGACTGATGCGACGAAAATCCACAAAAAAATTGTTTTCTTTACTATGAGGACTCAAAGGAGCATAAAACTTTCAGCTTTGAACTTATTTTTTCTATCGCTTGAGACCTTTAAAACGGTAATTTTTATTTTAGGTAAAAAATTGACATAATTAATTACTCGAATTTTGCAGATTCTTCGCACTGCATGGTCCTACTTTGCTGTTTTGCATCAAGTCAATTCGTAAATTTTTCTTTATGTTTTCGGCCACACATACCAACAGATTTTATCATTTTTCTATTTGAAAATATTATAAAACATTCTAAACAAAAATTACTAAATTTCTGTTGTCACATATTGGCTCCACTGGATTCAAGAAAACAAATCAACAAAATATATGTTTTGTAAAATCTTATTACATAGTATTAGACTTAGATTAGATATATATTTTGTGTAATGATTTAGCTTTTTAAACCTATTATAGATAGATAGCACGGTCATATTTGAGTAGTATGTCTGAAAAAAAATAAATATAAACTGCAATTTGACTATAGTTGTTTCAAATTTTAATCCAAAATCAAATTTACTCCTTGGTTATTATAAATATAAGATATCTGGCAGATTTATCATTTGTTGATGTCAAAACTTAAACAGTACAATAAAAATCTATCAATATCGTGGCAACACCCAATAACAAATAAATTTACTAAAAATATCATTTGTTTTTAATTTATTATTGATTTGTAATTAATTGCAGTAGAATAATGGAAATCATTTTTTAGTATTTTTACTTAAATTTCTACTGAAAAGTGTCGAATTTTTGTAAACACCATTTAAATTTTATAAAATAACATACTCCTATACATACTTGTGATTTATGAATTCACCTTGATTTTTAACCTATGCATCCGATTTTTCAGGAGAAAATTCAAATTGGTCATCACATTGTATACCACTATAAGAACCCTAACGTGTGATGTTGAATTATTAACACGACGGTCGCTGGCTCTAAGAACTCATGGGTCACTTTTTTTACACGATGAGTATATATTATTTATATGTACTGCACATCTCGGAATTGACATTAGTGTCTTTGGTGAAACACACTAGTGAAGTCTTGCCTTCAACCGATTTCCACGCATTCCGCGCCAGACCAAATACGAAAACGTTTCCAGAATGTGTTTTCGAAAAGGACGAAAGGGATAAAAAGGAGAAAAACCATAAAATGGATAAAAAGGATGAAAAGGATGAAAAGGATAAAATGGAGAAAAAGGATACAAAAGACGAAAAGGATACAAAGGACGTAAAGAACGAAAAGCACGAAAAGGATGAGAAGGACGAAAAGGATGAAAAGGACGAGAAGGATGAAAAAGCTGAATAGGACGAAAATGATAAAAAGGATTAAAGGGACGAAAAGGACGAAAAGGATGAAAAGGACTAAAAGGATACAAAGGACGAAAAGAACGAAAAGCACGAAGAGGATGAAAAAGACGAAAAGAATAAAAACGATAAAAAGGGTAACAGGATGAAAAGAACAAAAAGGACACAAAGGACGAAAAGAACGAAAAGGACGAAAAAGTCGAAAAGGATACAAAGGACGAAAAGCACGAAAAGGATGAAAAGGAAAAGAATAAAAACGATAAAAAGGATAAAAGGATGAAAAGGACAAAAAGGACACAAAGGACGAAAAGGACAAAAAAAAAGAATTAAAAGGGTACAAAGGATAAAAAGGACAAATAGGATGAAAAGGACGAAAAAGACGAAAAGAACAAAAAATAATAAGGACGAAAAGAACAAAAAGGACGAAAAGGATAAGAAGGATGAAAAAGACGAAAAGGATGAAAAGGGCAAAAACCATAAAATGGATAAAAAGAATAAAAAAAATGAAAATGACAAAAAGATACAAAAAACGAAAAGGATAAAAACGATAAAAAGGATACAAGGGATAAAAAGGACGAAACGGACGAAAAAAAAAGATAAATAGAATACAAAGGATAAAAAAAAACAAGTAGGATGAAAAAGACGAAAAGGACAACAAGTATGAAAAGGACGAAAAGGACAAAAAGGATAAAAAGGAAGGAAATAACGAAAAGGACGAAAAGGACGAAAAGGATAAAAATGATGAACAGGACGAAAAGGACGAAAAGCACGAAAAGGATGAAAAAGACGAAAAGAATAAAAAGGATAAATAGGATAAAAGGATGAAAAGGACAAAAAGGACACAAAGGACGAAAAGAACGAAAAGGACGAAAAAGTTGTAAAGGATAAAAAGGATGAACAGGACGAAAAGGACGAAAAGGATGAAAAGAATAGCAAAGATAAAATAACAAAAATGATGAAAAAGACGCGAAAGGGGAGAAAATGACGAAAAGGATACAAAGGACGAAAAGCATGCAAAGGACAAAAAGGACGAAAAAGACGAAAAGGATGAATACGACGAAAAGGACGAAAAAAAAATGGATTAAAAGGGTACAAAGGATAAAAAGGACAAATAGGATGAAAAGGACAAAATGGACGAAAAGAACAAAAAATAATAAGGACGAAAAGAACAAAAAGGACGAAAAGGATAAAAACGATAAAAAGGATAAAAAGGATGAAAAAGACGAAAAGGATGAAAAGGACAAAAACCATAAAATGGATGAAAAGAATACAAAGGATGAAAAGGACGAAAAGGACAACAAGAATGAAAAGGACGAAAAGGACAAAAAGGATAAAAAGGAAGAAAAGAACGAAAAGGACGAAAAGAACGAAAAGGATAAAAATGATGAACAGGACGAAAAGACGAAAAGGATGAAAAGGATAGAAAAGATAAAATGACAAAAATGATGAAAAGGACGCGAAAAGTGCGAAAAGGACGAAAAGGATACAAAGGACGAAAAGTATACAAAGGACCAAAAGGACGAAAAGAACAAAAAATAATAAGGACGAAAAGGATAAAAAGGATATAAAGGATGAAAAAGACGAAAAGGATGAAAAGGACGAAAACCATAAAATGGATAAAAAGAATAAAAAGGATGAAAAGGACGAAAAGGACGAAAAGGACGAAAAGGACGAAAAGAATGAAAATGACAAAAAGATGCAAAAGACGAAAAGGATAAAAACGATGAAAAGGATACAAGGGATAAAAAGGACAAAAAGGATGAAAAGGACGAAACGGACGAAAAAAAAAGATAAATAGAATACAAGGGATAAAAAAAACAAATAGGATGAAAAAGACGAAAAGGACAACAAGAATGAAAAGGACGAAAAGGACAAAAGGGATAAAAAGGAAGAAAAGAACGAAAACGACGAAAAGGACGAAAAGGAGGAAAAGGATAAAAAGGACAAATAGGATGAAAAGGACGAATCAAACCCAGTGGCGAAGAATGACTATTTAAAGTACAATAGATTGATGAACTCAACGCAAGTTCTACAAGTATCTCTAAAAAAATACCAACAATAATATTTTTACTTCCAAGTACGAACACGAATTACGAATATCAGGGAAGTGCTGGTGAAATAACTTTCGATAGATTTTTTTTTAATTTTACTTTGAAATTCGAACCTTCAGGTGTTTCAAAATTATAATTAATATATATTTAGCGGTAATACTTTCTGCAGGATTTTTATTTTAACAGATAAAAATTATTTTCGTTCTTAAATACAAAAATTGGTCGAAAGTTGTTTCCTCAGAGCTTCCCTCGCTCTTGAAGTACAATGAAACAATCATGTCCAGCATTTTCGAAAAATTATAAAATTTGATTTTCCGAATTTTATTTCTTGAGAACCCCTAAGTGGAAATAAACATATGTAAATATGTAATGCTAAAGTAAATGTAAAGAAGCATGCTACGCGTATGTTTCAAATGAGTTTTTACTTTACAAAATTTTGTGAACACGTAAATCATCAGTTTTGCAAGAACACGTATTTCAACTTGGGTTGCTGCAGTAATACTAATAATAACGTATTATACGCCCCCCCCCCAAGTTCTGGGAATAAATTCATCTATTCATGTGAATATACTCATCACAATTTGGATAGTATTTCTTCCGCAAAATTATGACGACATCATCAATTTTTTGGGGGAGATAAAGAGATATATTTTGATTAAAAGTTTACCATCCTAACAATATCTTCAAAACGTTTTAATCAGTAAAATAAAAATCGAAAAAATATTAATGCAATGATAAATCACAAGTATCGATACGGCACAATTAAGATAGGATTTATCATAACAAAACAACTGCAAGATTTCAAAGAATTCAGTCTTGCAGATTCCAAATTAAATTGCAAAATGTTGTTGTTTGACAACAATCGGCCCATTACTTTCGGAGATTATCTGACTAATAAAAATCCGGGACGGCAGACAGACGGACAGGCCGTCAGACAGATTGACAGACAGACAAACAGACAGACTGACAGACAGAAATAGGGAACCTATTTTTTAGTTCTATAGGGGTCATGAAAAGTGGCTTACGCTGGGGAAGTAAAAATTGCTACATAATATATTGAAATTTCATTCTAAGATGTTTCAAATACTTCAAAATTAAGTACGACTTCCAAAATTTAATTCAATAAAATCACGCATACTCACATTACATAGTTCGCATTTGTATCTCGGGTATACAATCCAGTACATTTTAATTATTCCTATTTAATAATGTGTCTAAATTCTCTCTTATGCTTGTCACAGTTTCGCTAAAAAAGTAAACATTTTTTTCCTAAAAATATTAAATTTTGTACATCTGAGGACACTAACTGAATTATTATTTTTAACAAAATAGTTAATATTTTATTAGCGTGAACCGCCAGAGCAATTTTTATCCGTCAAGACATAAAAACAGAATAAATTTCTAACAAATTTCGAGACGAGAAATAATTGCCGTGGCATGTAAAACAATTACACCAAAATAAATGAATAAAAAATATACTAATTGTAGGCCCAAGACGAACAAAATAATTAATAACCACTAATAACTACCTTGACTTCTGTAATTAAGAATTCCTTATTAATAGTTATCCTCTCATTGGTGATTACAAATTTAAAAATAAAGTTCATTCCCTTTTAAAACATACGTAGTAAAAATTTTGTTATTTAGTGATACTTTGACTTTCTCACACAGCACACACAACAAGACGATGAATCGTTTCGAATGGCAATCTGCCGTCAATTTAAACATTCTAACCCTAAAAATAATAGGCCTCTGGCCACAAGGAGACGAAACCTACAAAAAAAACATCTACACTTTTTATTCAGCAACAATTCTAATCGTCTTTGTCTGCGGTCACAACTTTTTCCAAACAGTCAACATAATTTTTATTTTGGACGACTTTGAATCTTTCACAGCTACGATTTTCGTAACATTATCCTGCATTGGGTCTGTGTTGAAGGCGTACTCACTTATCCAAAACATGGACACACTCAAAGGACTTTTTGTGACTCTGAGAAGCGAAATGTTTTTACCCAAAAACCAACAACAGATAAATTTAATACAACCCGGAATCAAAGTCTGGAAAATTATCTGCATTGCGCTGAATTTTATGGGAGGAAATTGTGCTTTGTTCTGGTCAACTTACCCAATTCTGGATAAAGCAGACTACAGATTGCCGTTTTTGGCGTGGTATCCTTTTCCGACTACGGTTTCGCCTAATTATGAGCTTACGTACTTGTACCAAGTGGTCTGTATTTGGTTTATTGTGATGTTTAATGCCAATATAGACTCGTTAATTGCTGCTTTGAACATGATTATTGGTGCTCAGTGTGATATTTTGTGCGATAATTTGAGAAATTTAAACACAGGTAATATGGAAGAAAATTTTGAGTACTGCGTGGAACACCATAAGGCAATTTTAGAGTGTGTTACACAAAATGGTTGAATATTTTAAAGTTGAGGTTTTTATTTTCTAGGTTTTGTAAAAAAGGCAACGACTTTTATACCTGGATTTTGCTATTTCAATTTTTTACGAGTGCGGTGTCTTTGGGATTTAGTATGTTTTTACTGACTCGGGTAAGTTGTGACAAAATTTAATTTTAGTACTTTTATTTATTTATTTTTTTATCAGGTTGCCGCTTTCACCAGTGAATTCTTCTCTTTTATTGTTTATAGCAATGCGGTAATCATAGAAATTTTTCTCTACTGTTGGTTTGGAAACGAAGTGGAAATTAAGGTAAATATCGAAACCTAAAATATAATAATCATAATAAAATTTTTGTTTTTTTATTTCCTAGAGTAGCAATATCCCCTACTCCGTTTTTCAAGCCGACTGGGTTGATTCAACGAAAGTCCATAGAAAAATAGTTTTCTTTACTATGAGGACTCAAAGGAGCATCCGACTTTCAGCTTTGAATTTATTTTTTCTGTCACTTGAGACCTTTAAAACGGTAAATTTTTAGTTTAAGTAAACAATTAAAATAATGAGCCAAATTTTGTAGATTCTTCGCACTGCATGGTCCTATTTTGCCGTTTTGAATCAAGTCAATACATAAATTCTTGTTGTCATCGAATGATAAATTATTATTTAATAAACGTTTGAACTGTTGAAGTAAATATAATAATAATCTGTATTCTTATTAAAAATTGAAGATTGTCAAATTATAAAAATTAAATAAAGTTTCGCTTGTTACTGTAAGTAGACAGAATTAAGTATGTTGTTATCACATTTCATATATATTATTGTAGCACTGTTTTCCATTTACTCTTAATAAAAAGTTAGAATTTGGAAGCTTTTTTTCCTTTTTTTTTTCGTGGCAATATTTTTTTCTTTAAAATGATGGACAATATTACCAAAAATAATAGTCGTAGTTAATAATGCGATCTGTGAACAAATTTTGTCCACCATTATATAAGAGCTGTACCTTTTCATGTGAAATTTATAACAACCAAAATTTTAACTTAACAAGTTCTACTAATTGTCAAAAAAAATCTCATTACAAAAATCTATTACAATTAACATTCTGGTAAAAACTACTTCTTCACACTCTACCACTATCATTTTTTAAGTACTCCATAAAATGCTTCCATTAATTGTGATCGAATTCAAGACAGATTCATAAACCACAGATATAGAAGTATCTTATGTTATAAATGGTGAATAATTAATTGTTATTGGAGATGATTAGATACATTTTGAAGCACGATATTATTAACTAAACGGGGCAATTTATTTTATTGATTAAATTAAATTAAATTAAATTAAATGGTAATACAGTACTTTTATTATTAGTACTGAATTGCTCTCATTTTTTTCTTCTGAAATAAGAACAAATCTTATACTGAACAGAATAAAATTGTTACAATGAGAAGAACGCGGCTGGGCGGGGCTAAAACCTCCTAAGATAAAATTGATTTTCGCAAATGACATACTGTCTAAGAAAATTGTTTCATTAGTGTCATCGTAGCAAGTAGGTACTAGTACTAGTACTGGTACTTGGGCGGGGCTAGTAATTGCTACGATGAGACTAATTTAGGCAGAGACATATCCTCTAAGAAAATAGAGGGCGGGTGGGCGGGGTTAGAGATTGCTGAGATAAGACAGCGCAATATAAAGAGTTGTTACTAGAAAGAAGCAGAAAGGGAAGGGTGGGAGGGGCTATTGCTTGCTTATAAAAGTCTCTGTAGTAAAAAGTTAATCATGGCTCCGCCCACCCACCTCTCCTATCATTTTTTTCTTTTGAAATAAGAACAAATTTAATAGCAATTAGTATAACAAAAACGATTCGTGATTTTCCCATTACCACTTTGCCAAAGTTCATATGATTGATCCCGCCCATTCACCCCGCCTCCATTTCAGGGATTTATTTTATCTGGTACGGATGAAACGTGGACTGAAAAGAATGAAATCGTTACAATAGAAAAAACACGGGTGGGAGGGGCTAGAACCTCCTAAAATAAAACTGATTTTCGCAGATGACATACTCTCTAAGAAAATAAAGGGCGGGTGGGAGGAGCTAGTTCTTGCTAAGATGAGACTAATTTAGGCAGAGACATATCCTCTAAGAAAACAGAGGGCGGGTCGGCGGGGCTAGTACTTGCTAAGATGAGACTAATTTTGGCAGAGACATATCCTCTAAGGAAATGTAGGGCGGGTGGGCGGGGTTAGAGATTGTTAAGATAAAACAGACCAATATAAAGAGTTGTTACTAGAATGAAGGAGAAAGGGGCGGGTGGGTGGGGCTATTGCTTGCTTATAAATGTCTCTGTAGGAAAATGTTAACCTTCGCTACGCCCACCCACCGCTCCTATCATTTATTTCTTTTGAAATAAGAACAAATTTAATAGCAATTAGTATAACAAAAACGATTCGTGATTTTCCCATTGCCACTCTACCAAAGTTCATATGATTAACCCCGCCCATCCACCCCACCTTCATTTCAGGGATTTATTTTATCTGGTACGGATGAAACGTGGACTGAAAAGAATAAAATCTTTACAATAGAAAGAACACGGGTGGGCGGGGCTAGAACCTCCTAAGATATAACTGATTTTCGCAAATGACATACTCTCTAAGAAAATGAAGGACTGGTCGGAGAAGCTAGTTCTTGCTAAGATGAGACTAATTTAGGCAAAGATATATCTTCTAAGAAAACAGAGGGCGGGTGGGCGGGGCTAGTACTTGCTAAGATGAGACTAATTTTGGCAGAGACATATCCTCTAAGAAAATGTAGGGCGGGTGGGCGGGGTTAGATATTGCTAAGATAAAACAGACCAATATAAAGAGTTGTTACTAGAATAAAGGAGAAAGGGGCGGGTGGGTGGGGCTATTACTTGCTTATAAAAGTCTCTGTAGGAAAAAGTTAATCTTGGCTCCGCCCATCCACCCCTCCTATCATTGTTTTCTTTTGAAATAAGAACAAATTTAATAGCAATTATATAACAAAAACGATTCGTGATTTTCCCATTGCCACTCTCCCAAGGTTCATATGATTAACCCCGCCCATCCACACCGCCTCCATTTCAGGGATTTATTTTATCTGGTACGAATGAAACGTGGATCTTATACTTATACGGGGAAAGAACGCGGGTGGGAGGGGCTAGAACCACCTAAGATAAAACTAATTTTCGCAGATGACATACTCTCTAAGAAAATGAAGGGCGGGTGGGAGGAGTTAGTTCTTGCTAAGATGAGACTTATTTGGGCAGACACATATCCTCTAAGAAAACAGAGAGCGGGTGGGTGGGGCTAGTACTTGCTAAGATGAGACTAATTTTGGCAGAGACATATCCTCTAAGAAAGTGCGGGGTGGGTGGGCGGGTTTAGAGTTTGCTAAGATAAGACAGAGCAATTTAAAGTGTTGTTACTAGAATGAAGGAGAAAGGGGCGGGTTGGTGGGGCTATTGCTTGCTTATAAAAGTCTCTGTAAGAAAAAGTTAATCTTCGTTCCGCCCACCCACCCCTCTTATCATTTTTTTCTTTTAAAATAAAAACAAATTTAATAGCAATTAATATAACAAAAACGATTCATGATTTTCCCATTGCCACTGTACCAAAGCTCATATGATTAACCCCGCCCATCCACCCCGCCTCCATTTCTCCATTTCAGTGATTCATTGTATATGGTCCGAATGAAAGGTAAATCTTACGCTGAAGAGAATGAAATCGCTACAAGGAGAAGTGCGCTGGTGGGCGGAGATAGAAGCTGGTAAGATTAAACTGATTTTGGCAAATGACATATCCCCTAAGAAAATAAAGGGCGGGTGGGTGGGGCTACTACTTGTTACAGGTCAAATGATTTTATGATGTCCAACCTTAATTGTACTAGTCTTCTCATCTGAACATTTCTTTATCTAACTACGTAGTACTGCAGCGGTACTACTTCCACGCACAAATTTTTAAACTGAGCACGTCCTCTAAATAACCGCGATTTCGCCTCCTACTTTAGACTCTTGTTGGCGCTGCGCTTCATTAAGGTTAAAGTGAGCGTGCAACAATATTTGGAAGAGCTGTTCTTGCACGTTAAGGTGGATGGGACCGAATGTTCAGATGAGAAGACTAGTATAATTAAGGTGGAACATCATAAAAGCGTTTGACCTGATTAATTGTACAAAAGTCTTCTCATCTGAACATTTCTTTATCTAACTAGGTAGACGTTTAAAGAAATATTGTTGCGCAACTGGAAAATAAGTATGTATATACATATACGCGTATACAGAAAAACTAATAAAAGTATATAATGTTTATGAAAAGGTGGAGAATGGAGTCAGAAAAAGTTGTGTCAGAGACCAGAGCTTCCGGAAAATAATCAAAAGGTAATCTTCCTTCCCTCTTAAGCTCTGAGTGGCCTCGAGATAGAGGCGTAGGGGGATAAAGACACACAGCTGCGCCTCTTCTGTGAAAATATTAAATTCAAAATTGGGATAAATGCCATCTCTTAAGGAGGTCTCAGTAGGGTCCACCACTGTAGCCCAAACCTTGGAAGCAATAAAACGCAGACAAGACACACGATTCAAAATTAAGGCTTGTATTTTGTAAGCTGTTGTAAGGGCCAATAAGGTTGACAATTTTAAGGTCCACATTTCCAGTGAGAGTTCAGAAGAGCCCTCAGATACTGAAGACCCCAGGTTGTTAAATATCTCGGTTTTGTTGGCCTTAGTCGTTTAACCCCTTGCAATAAACGCTTTATCTAAATGTTATTATATTACCGACATCATTAGATAGTAGTAGAGCAAGGGCAGAGCGGTGAGAATTAAATGTGCCATACTTGTGTGCCGATGTATCCAGTAAGTTTTGGAAGAAACTCAAGATTTCAACATGTCTTGTGTGGAACGCAGCGCCAACTGATGGCTAAAATAGGAGGCGAGGTCAGGGTTATTCAGAGGACGTGCTCAATTTAAAAATTTGTGCGTGGAGGTAGTACCCGTGCAGTCCTACCTAGTTAGATAAACAAATGTTCAGATGAGAAGACGTTTGTACAATTAATATTATACCATTCCTATTACATTTAAATATTCTGTAAGAAGAAACTGGTTTGTACGTTAATGTACTAATAATTAGAGAGCGGATTTCTAGGTTTAATGCTTTTTGTGAAAAATGTAAGCACTTCAAAACTTTTCTATATCTGTAACTATGATACAATTTGGAGTCATTTGACACATTTTTTTTATGCTTATTTGCTTTTTTTTCAATTTTATGCATATTAAAACTTATATGCTTATTTAATGCTTTTTTCGACGAATATCAGTTTTATTGCATATTTTGTTCAAATGCCGGCCTTTTCGGGATGACAAATACTTGTTAGTTAGCCGTATCGCATCGTATGCATTTTACCTGGACTTGACCATTGAAGTGCACTTACTCAAGACCCTTTCTGTGAATAGGTTCCGATCGTTTGGGTAATAATATTTTATTATAGAATTGGAAAAATACTCCATAGATTTTATGACTTTAAATCCTTACTTCCGTTGATAATGAATTAAAGCTTTTAACCAGATGTTCTTTTTCGGCATTTTGCGGCAAGACCGTTGAAGATTTTCTAGAAAAAAGGATTAT